GCTAATACATATATATATATATGTGTATGTGTGTGTGTGTGTGTGTGTAAAAATAAATTATAAATTTAGTGTAAAAATTCAGTATAATTACATTTAATGAGTCAAGAGCTTTAAATAAAATATATAAAAATTATTAGAAGAAATAATTAGAATAATAGAAAATTTAATATTTTAATTACTAAAACGAATATTTAAAAATTTTAACGATGATTTGGACATTTGAAAAATACAATCTTATCGCGGTCATATCATATCTTATTTATGATATGACCAATTCGGAAGCAAAGCTTTCATACCTTAATAAAATTCATTAAATAATAAATAGTGGGTATCAATATAAAAATCAAGTCAAAAGTTACATCTAAATCCATCCACTTTTATAAACTAAATAAATTACCCAAAGAAAGGCATCAAAGATACGAGTGTCTGTCTGCTCGGTCTGCATGCAAATACAGGTGAACACTGTGCTACACGTCCGACGACACGACGTAACCATTGCTGCAATTTTTGTCGTCGTTCTTCCACAAATTTTGCATCCTAAAAACCATTATGTTATATCAATACTTTTATTATTACACTACAAATCTAAGCTTTAACACATCAAATCTTACCTTATTTCCTATTGTCTTTTTTGGCGGAAATTCGAAAGTTGTAACAATAGCATCGTGTTTCTTTAGCTCTCTATAAAGAGCATAAAATTGAGCATACCGCCGATAAATGTTCCACTCTATGTCTCTTATACGTACGTAAATCTATGATTAACATAATATACAAATTAAACAGAAATCCATGGAAAAAACATTTTAATGTAGTACAAAAAATAATCATACTTGATAAACGTGATGTATATCAGAAGATTGTCCCGTAAGAAACGCCGATGGAATCCATATGTGAATAAGACATGGTGGTTCCGCAGGTAAATCGTCTTCGTTCAACGGTCCCCGAAGGCATTCCAATTCCGTTTGCAGCATCTTTACTAATCTTTCCCTGTATAAGATTTGAACAATATAGAGAAGCGGCATCACAGCAGCTACTTACGCGATTTCGCATTGATACGTACTTATTCGTCAATTGCATTGTCAATCTAGCATTAAATTCCATTAATTCAGCATGCATATCTGCAACTTGTATTAATTTTTCTTCATATTGTCGCGCTTCATTGTGATAATCCAATGATGGATCTTCCTCAGATACTATCGTAGAATTGGAATCCCGTCTTAACATTTGAACAGCAGTGACATACTTACGCAATTGCTGTCGTAAGAGTTCATTCTCTCTGCATAATTATAATTATAATTATAATTATAATTATAAGTAAATTAGACCAATACAAATTACGTTATTTTCATCAAATGTAGAGAATGAATCACATAATTCGATTCTATCTCATTTAATTTCTTCTTTTTTCATTCTAATTCAATTTAAAAAGATCTACAAATATTGTATTTTTATTAATCTTTCTTTTTAAAAACAATATTGTGTTTAATGCAAAAATAATTCCAATAAGTTACGCGATTTGCTCTATATGTATGTATCTGCAAAGTAATTGCTTCTAAATTAATTATATTAAACAACTATAATTACCTGTTCAATGTTTGTAATTGTAATTCATGCTTTTCCAAATAATGTTGGTGTTGTCTCTGAAAACGAGCCAATTGTAATCTGCTCGTTATAGCATCTTCTCTAGCTTGTTCCAATACTTCCGTCATAGCTAAAAGTCTTATGCGTAATGTATCTATATCTAAAGTCTCTGGATCTACATGGAAATCTAAACCAACTAATGGTTCTGTTGCCTCCATTGCAGATTCCGTTGCTTCTGAATCCTAAATATAAATAAAATTAAAAAATATATATACCTTTGCATCTTTTGTTTTAAATCTTATTTTTAATGCAAAATTTTTGATAAATATTCACATGAGAATAAATAACTTTAAACTTTCGAATTGTTATCGCATTAAAATATACTTTAAATTTTTATGCCAAAATTAATTAAAATGTAGACTTACATCTAAGTAATTTGGCAGAGTAACTAACATATCATCTAGTGTTTGATCAAGTGATGAGACAGGTACAAGGCCGCCCAAGTTCTCAGCATCCATTACAGGAGTTAATAATTTTTCTTCTTCAAAAGATTCACTGCAGATTAGAAAAATTTTATGAAAAAAAACCATTTTGTATCTATTTATTATATCAATTATGAAAATAATTTACCATAGTTCCCATTCTCGTTTCGTATTGATCATTGTACTCTCATTGGAGTTGACTTGAGGTTGAGAATCTGATAAGCAAGGGGAAGTAGAATCTTTAGGCGTTATCGCAGGAGAACTAGGGCATGTTGGTGGTGCACTAATAGAAGTTATAATTTCCTTATGTTCCTCTTCTTCATTATCATCATCGAAAGAAATTATGCGAGCTTGTACTTTCTTTTTTCGTTTTTCTTGTTCAGACGGGAGAAGTTCTATTTAATAATTAATACAATAATTAATTATTTAATATTAATTCAAATAGCTTTAAGAAATATTTTTATTAGATAAATTAAATTTTTATTTAAATCCTGTTTTAAATAAAGACTTATAATTTAAGTTTCTTAAACAAGTTTTAAGAAATTTCTTTCTAAATGTGTGGAAAGAAATCAGTAGTAATTACTTTAATTAATACAAACTCTTTCAAAATATTATATATAATCTATAAAAAAAGTAAAAGTAAAAAGTTTTATAATTTTCTTCTTCTTTTTTTATAGAAAAGACATTTTATCTCAACTTAATATATAACTTATAACATTAATAGTATATACCTGGGATTACCGTCGAAATAATTGGTTCTGATTGAGTGTATCTACCTCTGTCCATTCCTTTTCCATTTAGGTCATCAAGTTCCTCATTGTCTGTTCTTATTGCAAATAAAATTGTACCAAGACCTAATAGATATGCGAATGTACAAGATAAATTTATTTATTAATAAGGATCCAGTTATAGTTATATAATAATTATATATAATAGTTATATAATAAATAGTTATATAAGTATATAATTATATAATAATTTAAGTATAATAATTTCAATATAATTATTTAAGAATAAATACCTGCAGTAACATTAGGTAGCACAGAACTTTTTTCTTGATCAAGTAAAAAAGCCCACTCTTCATAATAAGGAGATAGACTACTAGGATTTATAATAGCATGTAAATGCCGTTCTAGAGATCTTTCATTCAAGACAGCTCTCAGCCATGCTCTACCTCGACCATAATCAGTATGAACCTTTCTCAACATACTAAAACGTTCCTGCTCATGCCAAGTAAGCTGTTCCTTTATACATGGCCAAAATGCTGCATCCACTACATTGCCAGGTCGAGCATTATAACCAGAGACTAAATCGGATACATGTCTATGAAATAAGTAAAAATATTTGTTATTTCCTTACATATTCCAATTAAAAGTAAGTATCATCTATTTGTACTAATTCATATTAAAATTTATCAGTAAAAAAGTTGTCCATGCATTCATTATCTTGCTTATGAGTCATTGATGATAAAAAATATGATCTGTTTTGTAACCTTGTACATACAGGAACTGATAAAAAAAAGATAAATATATATAAATTGCATTACGATATTATATTACCTGAATGCAGAATTGATTTTTTCTATATAATTTGTTTTTAATCCATGGCTAAAAATTAATTCAAATATGTGGCAGAGCTTCGCTACACATGTTTCTGATTCTGTGGCTAATTCTGCACGTCCACCAAACCTGACATGGCATTCTTTTGCAGACACTAATAAATCCTCTAATAATTTTTCCTTCTCAGCTGCATGGTCTACTATATTATTTGTATTCGGCACTATCGCTGACATAATACGCAAAGCCTAGGATAAACAACATCTTAGAAAACAGCTTAAATCAACAATTTCAAAAAGAATCTTAATATTTCTTAAGATAGCCATATTTTTTTAGATTAAATATATAAAAATTTGTATTATTTCTATTACGATTAATAAGATCTATATTAAAACTATTTTTTCAATCATTTTAAATCAATTATTATTAAATTATATTTTAGCAATGTATTACGCAGTTCCTAAATATAA